GCAGGGGGACTATCTATGGACGGAAGAAAGTCCATCATTTCGAAAAAAAAAAAGAAAGGACAGGTGAAGGTGGAACGGAAAGGGTGTGGTGATGGACCCCCATTATTTTTCTTAACCTAAAATACTAGCCCTGATGAGGGACCAAAACTGTCCTATAATTTTTAATAGCAACAAGTTCGATGTTTTCAATTTCAATTTATTTCAAATAACCTCCAAAAAGTAAAACATAATTTATTATAAAACATAACTTTTTGTTAAACACTATTTCATCCAAAGATTAAAACAACCAAAGAAAAAAAAAACTTCAACAATGTTCAGCTGAACTTATTTACAAATTACACATAATCCGGGAATCTGTAACTCACGATAACGGTCAGAAGTCGATTTGAAATGTTGTTAAATGAATAATAATATTTACCTCAATGCTTACCGTTGTTTTACCAGGACAAAGCAAACAAAACCAACTAATGTATCTTATAAAGCTACAACGTAAGAATTTCAAGTGATTGGGTTGTGATGCTCGTCTTCATCATCCATCCTTTTATTTCACATGCATTTTTCCTCTCCTGTACTATGGACTATATGACTTTTGTGAAGTTATATGACTAACCTATCATAAACCTCTGCTTGGAATTGTCAGATTGATTTCGTTATGCATGTGTATGGGTTCCTTCCGTTTCGGTTTCCATTTATCTGTTTAATTTACTGGCAGCCAATGCGTCCGTGTCGACGACATGACAGGTTCAATCAAGTGCTGTCACGTATTTATGATTCGTTGACAGCACTGGAACGCGTTTTCAGACCTTACACGTCGCAATCACGGTTGCGTGAACGCAACACGAGGGCTTTTTCGTATAATAATCAATGTATATTGCTTTGCCTGTTGTATAAAATGTCACCCAAGGCACATTTTTTTAAAGCACTTTTATGTTCGATAGTTCGTATTTTCCTATCTGTAATTTTTCGTTTTTAAAAACCCAGACAAGCCTGTTTACTACTGAATGTACACATAATACAAATTGCTAATGGGATAACGCTAATGCGTTAAAAATGCAATAAATACTGATATTTGTCTTTTAAAATTTTGATGTGAATTGCAAAGTCCATCAATGTTTATGATTCGCCTTGTGAAATTGGCACTTTGTTTTGTGCATAGAATCGTCAATGTCGTTTCATATTTACTATCTAACACTTCAATATCCTAACAATGTGAATGTGAACTTTACCCCTTTGCCCTCATTTAATGGTATAAGCTATTATTATGATGTTACTAAGAATATCTTTACATGTTTACAAGTACACAAATGATAATGATGATAAAAATAATATACTGTTATAATATTAATATCAAAAATAATCATATCAATAATAATGATGATAATTATAATTACAATACCGTATTTATTCGAATAAACGTCCCGTTTTGAATAAACGCACCTCAAATAAACACCCTATCAGCGAATAAACGATTCCCTCGAATAAACTCACCTCTAAATGATTTTAAACAAATCTAATGGAAGCAACATCATTCTCAATACATTCTATTAATGTTCTATTCCAGTTGATTTTTTTGTTCTAATTTGGTTGGGATCACTACGTCTTTATACATCAATATGTCTTTATACATCAACGGCCAATAACGCATTTTGACGGTAACTATGTGTTTAGTTGCACATTTACAGTGAAATTAAATGGAGTTCATTTGAGTATGTATCCACTTTACACACAACAAAATAAACGCCACCCTCGAATAAATACCCCTCAAAAATCCTTCTCAACAATAAACGTCCCGGATCGTTTATTGGAATAAATACGGTAATAGCATACCAATAATAATAATAATCAAATCAGCATTATCATTAATACTATACTATGATCATCATTATTATAAATAACAATAATGATGACAGTGATAATAAAAATAATAATAATAATAATAATAATAATAATAATAATAATAATAATAATAATAATAATAATAATAATATGTGTGTTGGCCGATATACTATATAAAGTGCCACTCATTGCTCAGCTAGAGCAACTGGAAGGCAATTGCATAGTCTGGTAAGAATACTAGGCCTCAATACCCACCAAAACCAAATACCATTTTCACAACATAATGTAGATAAGGCATAGTCGTATTTAATATTAAATATAATAAACTTGTAATGGCAGTTTATAGCTGATGAAAACTGCTGAAGTACATTAAATATTTACCAATAATTATTTTGTTTCCTCTTTATAGTACTGCAGCCAAAGGAGCATTCATTTTGCTACCTATTCTTGGTTTGACGTGGTTGTTCGGCATTCTATCCGTAAATGACAACACTATAATTTTCCAATACCTATTTGTCATCTTCAACTCACTACAAGGGTTATCAATTTTCCTTGTTTACTGCGTGTTCAACACAGAGGTAAGAACTTGTGATTCTTATTAACTGTACCCTTTATATAAGTATTCTTGCAGCCAACTTACAAGGATTTTATCGTAATTTGTTCCTCTATTCAAGCAATGTTTCAATCATTTAACAATATACATATATATATATATATATAGATTAGACTATTTTATCTGAAGAGTGCTGCACCATGTATGTGTACACATCTAGATGTGTATAAGAGACAGATGTTGGTGTATGCACGTGTATGCCCAAAACTTGATACTGCCACTGACTACGGTAGCATGGAGCATGTGCAAAACTTGTGCGTGTTTTAAGTGGCATGCTTAAAATTATACCATCAGTGGTATCAAATGAAAAACCTCCAATAATTGATTAATGTATATATATCAAATAAATTCCAATAGAATCAAAAACATATAAAAACAGTTCTGGTTGCTCATTTACAAACCATTTTAACAAGAAAATAATTTAAATTACCACTTTATATTTTATACTAATGGTCCATGCAAAAAACGTCTAACAATACTATATATGTATCTGGAAAATAACTTGCAAATGATGTATCAATATTTAAAAAAAAAAGGTTTTCCAACAAAAAAGTTAAGTTGCAAACACAAAAAAAATCTAGCCAACATATTAATTTGATTAAACAATTTTTTACAAAAAAGAAGACAAATAAAAAAAAAAAAAAAAAAAAAATTAGTACATTATGCTTGATTTGACTCATTTTCCTAGCATGTAATATATTTATAGATCTGTCATCAGCACGCTTATTAGGGCCAATTACATTAACATATTTTATGCATAATCATATCAACTTAATACATGCAGTTTGTTTGCAACATATGAATTTCAAGATACTGAATTCATTGTACCCTAAAAAATAAACACTTTAAGAAATTATTGATAATAATAATAATTTTTAATTAATAGTGCAGTAACACTAAATAGTAGTGAGGATGATGACCAACATACCTAAATTTTTTGCTGTATCCTCCATGAGGTAAAAATTCTGTAATTAAAATGTATTAAATTTAATACATTTGATTCTTTTATAGATGAAGAAGGGAAGCCGATCGACAAGCAGCACCACTGGCCCTACCATGCCACTTAAATCCACAGAGGGCAGGACAGACGGTAAGGAATTTGTGTGAAAATCAACAACGCGTGGAAACAACAACAAAATGTTTAATGATAAAAAACCACAAGAGCAAAAGGCAACAACAGCTAATAACAAAAAGCAAATAAGATGTCAAAATGTTGCTCTGTAGAGAGCTTTTAAAACTACATTATGAGCGAAGCTTTCGAATGTATCATGATTCCCTCGTCGGATGTCCACTCTACTGTCAAAAAGCAGCTCATTTGTGACACATATTTATTAAATTCAGGAATCCTAGAACAGAAATACTAATAATGCATTCGTCAACTGCAATCCCACTACGATAAAATTCGTACATCAAACTCCCTGTTTCGTACATCATACTCCCTGTTGTCAAGATTCAAAAATGTACCAATATAGGCCCTACTGTAACCCTGATACCGGTCACGTGAACAAGGCTTTGTGTAACACACTTCACGCAGCCTGTCATGCACTGTCAGCAGTGGATGAGGATGCGGTCATTGTAGACAAATCAATTTGTTAGTTTCTACACCTCCTGACGTCACAAGTACTGATTAAAGCAGCTGGTTATTCTTTGATTTTAACAAATGAAATGTATTGTGTTTATGCATCATTTTTCAACCCCAAAATTTATCCGGTATTGCTGTTTAAAATGTTATTATCATGAGCTATGACACATGCATTGCAGTGCAATTCATAGTTTAGCAACATGCCCACTTAATGATGTCCACATTGTACCTGCGGCTAATCAGACTCTCAACGAAAATCAGCAGACAATGTTACGTTGTACAACGGTCACCGAAAGTAGAGATGGATTCGTCGGCCGATGATGTGTGTGCCCAGCCTTGGGCCCACGCAAGATATGGATGTGGATCCTTTGGAATGCTTATACATGAAATGTACAAAAAATATTAAATCAAATGTAATTGTAGACTTTTTAAAACATTTAAGTATAACAAAGTTATTTTGATGGAAATTTATAAGTATCGGTCTCAAACTGTAAATGATATAAACTTATTTAATGTTTTATTATGTATAGTGTAAAATTAATTATATCAATATGTTGTTGGACAAATTTGCAAATATCTCTATGTAATTATTATCAACTGATAAATACATATAAATAGGTTTATGTTAGTTGTATATTTATGTCAATAGAATACATATTTCTAAATGCATAACCATAATTATATTTAAAAAATCTTGGTCATTGATATATTTATTTTTTTCTTATAATATGGTCTTTTGCTTAAAGACAAGTAAAACAAATATTTGATATATTGTACAGATAGATATTCAAAAAAAATGATAGGGTGTTTGAAGAAACAATCAGGACTGGCTAACACAAACTTTCAATGTTTATCCAACTCTGGGGTATTAATATGAGTATTAACTGTATACCTAACTGTATACAAAGAATACTTTAATACTACTTTAATAGCTTAACCAGTTATGTCAATGTATACAATGGTTTTAAAGTTTTATCTGTATCATTCAAAGTTGTATGTAGTAGTATACATTAATCTATGTATGTATGCATTATATGTAATATACTGTATATATATATATATATATATATATATATATATACAGTATATATATAATATACAATTTCATACTATTACAGTGAACTAAGAAAAAGCTAATTCTGGTACATAATTAGCATATAATTATTGAATAGTTAGTAAAATATGAGTATAATTATAGATACAACTTTAGTTAAATGAAAAGGTGAAAAGCCCAATGCAAATTTAGCAGAACACACTTGTAAGGGATCTTGAGATCATTTGAAAAATGAATATTCTGGAAGAGAAAACTCAGGCGAAAATCATGCAGAGCTCGGTCAAAGAAAATTAACTGTGGTTAGACAGTTTTATTAAACAATGGTCAAGTAACAGGAGAATAATTAAACACAAGGGAATCGCTCAGCTCAGAAACATGAGAGATGTCAAAACATGACAGCCAAGCTATGAGTCAAAGACAGCCTTATTTGATATGAACCTCGAATTGTTGAACGGATACCTTTCTTAGTAAAGTGTGTCATGAATGCTATTTTAATTAAAGAGTTCTGTATCTGTTTATAAACACTTATAATAAACACTTCTAAAATATAAAAAAAAACATCACTGAACCATTCCTCTCCATTCTTTTTATTGGCTTATTTTACGATATATTCATTGGGATTCTAACAAAAAATAAATTCTTTACAAAATTAATTTTACAAAGATGATTGATGGTAGGCAACTGGAATCAAGCCTGCAGCTTTTGAATGCTCAGACTGATACACACAAGACAAAATCTTACACAAAATGCTTGCGCTAAGGAAACATTAGCAAGTATCCTGTGGTACATCACGTCTGGGATGGGAGAAGGCTCATCTGTGTAATGTGACAGTAGCACATGAGCTGTGCTGTGTAATACAAACATAGCAGAGGCCTGTAACACAAGATATTTAGCATAAATTTGTGTAGATACTTACAAAGTGAAGGTTTTCTTCAACTGTGGTGTTGCGTTATCTTCACTGTCTTTCAGCAAGTTTGTAATGCCCTTGTGTGAAAACGAGCGTGATTTCAGTAAGAAGGTCTCGGGAGGTCTCTAACATTTAGCATACACCTGTGAAACATTTCGTCTTGTGTGAATCGGGAATAAGCTAAAAAACAGGGGATCTAGTATTTCTCCCGCGCCACGAAGTCTCAAGTGGCAATCAAGGATTTATCAGGGAGCTTTCGATTGCATGACGAGAGTAGGACTAGAACGCAATGGCATCAATAAAAGTCATCTGCGCATGCGAGAACGTTAAGGTCACCTCTTCTAGTAGATTCTGGAACGCAATTTGGCCAAATCTACATTTGCAGAGAACACAGGACGTCAGTTGGAATACGTCATTGCACAAATTGAAAGCACCCTATTGTCTCAGAGTGGCGGGATCTATTGTATTGTTTGAGGGAGGGTGGGTAGGGGGTATTCCCTTACCTATTGTGCGTGTCCAAGGGTCTGTGTCTCCCGAGTTCCAATCATATTAATCTACCATATCAGTATACAGTAAATGATTTTACACATAATTTTTGGTTACTGCTGGGGAAGGTGGGAGCGGGCGCATCTTTCCCCACCCCCTATATTTGACAATAGTTCTCCCAGGAGTGTAGTAACAATTTTATTGTTGGCCTTTTGCCATGACAATAATTTTGTTTAACTACTTGAGATAAACATGTGTGTATACGATACAATATATAAATACAGGATATATAAACATTGTGCGACCACCTTTCGTATGTCACCACTTCTCCTTGATGACCATCTCTTTTAAGCGACCACTTTCTGTTTCCCATTTAGTCACTGCATCTTGTAAGCGCCAACCTCTCGTATGTGAACACGACCACTTTTGGTCATAAAAATTTAATTCATCTGGGGTACTGGCAAACACAACTTTACATGGAGGCGATTAGAAAAGCCTGTTATTGCATATGCTGCTATATTTGATTATTTTTACATGTCACATTTACACATGTGGTGTGTACTCTTGTAAATAACAACTTCTAATAAGAGATCACTTATAGTAAGAGACCACCTTCCCTTGGTTCGCGGGTGGCTGCTTACAAGTGGTTCAATTGTTTTTTGTTGAAATTTTAGATATTACATAAATCATGTATATATCCCAGTGAGTGTTGTCATTTGAACAAGTTAATTTTTTTCATTCAAATGTTACAAATTAGATTTTACTTAGCAATTTCCAAGGATTTTCTAGCCATTGCAAGTGCACCCTCCCTTGTTTCATTACCTCCAATAAACCCAGAAGCATGCACAAATATACAGCCAGGAATATCAGAGAGTGTGGATAGCTCCTCATCTCGGACACCTCTCCATTTCTCAGGTAGTGAAAGTCTGAACAAAAAGAATATGAAAAATATTCAACGACTCATTTACAAGAAATTTATCATCATCAGTGGTGGATCCAGGAATACGTAATAGATGGGGCCCTGGGAAGCATTTTCACAAATGGAGGATCTATCCACCTCAGCCCCATCATGGAAATTTTATGATTATGGCAACTCTAGATGGCCAGAAATGGCACTCTCATGCTTAAATTTTAATACAATTTTTTTTTCCCATTATTTTTTTTTAAATTAAAATTTAAGGGCCCCGGACGGGTTGGCCACTCTTTGAATTCCCCAGTGATCATCATCAACAACAGCAGTAGAAAAAACAACAGCAATATGTGAACACGACCACTTTTGGTCATAAAAATTAAATTCATCTGGGGTACTGGCAAACACAACTTCACATGGAGGCGATTAGAAAAGCCTGTTTTTGCATATGCTGCTATATTTGATTATTTTTACATGTCACATTTACACATGTGGTGTGTACTCTTGTAAATAACAACTTCTAATAAGAGATCACTTATAGTAAGAGACCACCTTCCCTTGGTTCGCGGGTGGCTGCTTACAAGTGGTTCAATTGTTTTTTGTTGAAATTTTAGATATTACATAAATCATGTATATATCCCAGTGAGTGTTGTCATTTGAACAAGTTAATTTTTTTCATTCAAATGTTACAAATTAGATTTTACTTAGCAATTTCCAAGGATTTTCTAGCCATTGCAAGTGCACCCTCCCTTGTTTCATTACCTCCAATAAACCCAGAAGCATGCACAAATATACAGCCAGGAATATCAGAGAGTGTGGATAGCTCCTCATCTCGGACACCTCTCCATTTCTCAGGTAGTGAAAGTCTGAACAAAAAGAATATGAAAAATATTCAACGACTCATTTACAAGAAATTTATCATCATCAGTAGCGGATCCAGGAATACGTAATAGATGGGGCCCTGGGAAGCATTTTCACAAATGGAGGATCTATCCACCTCAGCCCCATCATGGAAATTTTATGATTATGGCAACTCTAGATGGCCAGAAATGGCACTCTCATGCTTAAATTTTAATACAATTTTTTTTTCCCATTATTTTTTTTTAAATTAAAATTTAAGGGCCCCGGACGGGTTGGCCACTCTTTGAATTCCCCAGTGATCATCATCAACAACAGCAGTAGAAAAAACAACAGCAATAACAATAAATATAGTAACGGTGGCAAAGGGTGCACCGAACTGGTCATTGAATTCTGGCAATCCTGCAAATCAAGTGCAACCAGTGGCAGTGCCAGTGTTAGAGGCGGATTAAGGTCCCAGGTAGACAGGCTTACTTACCGATTTTCAAACGACGTGCTTGATACTGACACGCATTGCACACGATATTTTCCATTCTGATCTGTATAGAGGGCATACTTTATTGGTGTTTCTATGTTTAGTGTCTCCTCTAATGCATACAGGTGTTCTTTCCAAGGACAACCACCTTGAGTGAATTCAATCAGCTCACCACTTGCATCAACCTGAGAATTGCAAAACACCAATATAGTAGTAGTGGTTAAAATTTCTCTATATTTACAACTAGATAGGCTTTTGCATGTGTTATCATATACCTTTTCGGAAAAAAAAAATATTAAATTTCCCGGTAATGACCAAACAACACAGAATAAAATGGATGCACAACTGAGGATTGCTTTGTTGTTGGTACTGCTTATTGCAGCCCTCCATGCTATATATCTTACATAAAAATATAATTGGGAATTCAACTAATTAATACATTAATTGATTAAATGAATGATTGCTTGATTTATTGATTGACTGAACATGTTTGATTGAATGACTGATTGATTGAATTATTGATTTATTTATATGTCTCATTTGGTCACCTCATAACAGTATAATCAATGAACAAAGGTGCAAACGTATTCTAAGAAAAATATAATAATGTGCATATAAAACAAAACCAATGTGAAAACACATAGATGATTCTAGGCATCTTGTTTGTATCCAGTATACTTATGCCTCCATGGTATCTGCACAGTATATCAAAGGTATCATGTGTTGCCTGTCAGCCAATTAGTAAGTTCAGAATTAATGACAATGTCAATATAATTTGTCATTTAATATGGGCCCACAACCAATAATTACTTGTGCTTACATCAAATCTACCGTTGATCGCTTCCTCCACAATTTCTCTTGCCGGCCACCAGCAGTCGTTGTAGTATTTCACCCGCTCAACAAACTCAGATCCCGTCAACTCCATGGCTTTCTTGAATCTACACTGATTTGTAAAATTAATAAAAAAGAATCATTGATATAAAGAGGTGGAAATTTTTGTAATTTTTTATATAATGTAAATGTCACACAAGATCATTAGACAATGAAAAGATAATTTTAATTATTAGACATACTGTACGGTAACTCTAATTAGAATTTAAACTTATTGAAGAAAACAAAATAGACACGAGAACTTGTTCATACCAAGTCTTACAAAAATGTTTAAAGTGGACTTTGTAAATAAGTTACATAAATTATTGTTCAGCTTGTTAGTGTATTATTATCATGCATTTTTTTCTATATAATTTTTGTTTTCTCAATTCAAATAATATACAAATTTGATTATTATTAAAAAAGCTATAAAAAAACTTTTTTTTAAGTTTTTTTTGTTTTGCCGCCCCTATTTTTTTCAGTGAATTAGGTTCAAGTGAGGAGGCACACAAACAATTTTTTTAGGCCTCAAACATTTTATTTCATTCCTATATATAAAATAAAGTGAGATTGAATGATGAATTTGAATAATTTACCTCTGTATCTTGATCTTTGCTGTTCCAATTGGGATTAAGGTGTTTGACCCTTGAACTCAAGCCAGTATGAATAATATATCTGTTTAAATAATAAAAATAGCACAAAAAGTCAATTATTAGGCCTCATATTAATACTGATATTACAACAGCCGAATTTTACTAGTTCATGTCGTTGACAACGATTTTTCATTGAGCATCATTTTCATTCGGCTGTTTCGTAAAATAGACAATGCAAATTAACGTAAACCAAAGTGTATTAATTTGCAATATGTTATCCACGTGACCAAAAGAAACAGGGCCGATTAGTCAATTTAGATACAACATTTACATTAATATAATTTAGATTAAACTTCAGAAAATAAGTGTTATAATATTTACATACATAAACTCAAAAAATAATTGTAAGCTAACAGAATTTTAAAAAATGCATGAAAACATTTTTTTACAAAAAACCCATACTGCCACAAGCCGATGCAATCTTGATTATGTTAGCGTGCATCGCAGTAACTATGCAGCCATTTAGTATTGCTGAGTATTTACCAGTTTTCTATTCAACTAGTCATCTTCATTAAGTAGGATTTTACCACTGCGCAGGCAGGCATGGCTTAAGGAAGAATGACAAGTCAAATACGGCCAATACGGTACGTCAATTTTTGTAACCTTTTGAGTCCTTACTTTGGTTCTTGGCAAGCAGACACACCATTATCAATAGCATCAATCTCTTCCATGAAATTCTCATAGATTTTGTCATAGATAGCAGCCACTCTGGCATTTTCCTTACTTAACCCCAGTACTTCGGCTACCACATCTTCTCCAAAATGACAATACACAAGACCAGCACTGCTTAATTTTGTCGTCCATGGTTTGCTTGGGAGAATAGAATTCATAGTGGATGTGAACGACCTGTTGGAAAAAGATGTAATTTTGAATGTCATACAATTTTTCGTAAAAAGTAGGGCAAATCAAGACTTGGGCTTATACCTGAAATTGAAAATCAGATATTTTTTTTTTTTTTTGGCATTTCATGTAAGTAAACAAAAAATATAAAATTGCTCAAACTATTATATATTGAGTGGGCTTACCTTAAAGAAAATAAAATAAATATATAAAATTAATTAATCAAAATTACTTATACAGCAACTGTATTGCAATTGCAAATAAACCTATGGGAACCATCCCAAAAACCAGCAACAATTGTCAAAAAATGAAAATTGACTTTTCATATTTTCATTATAAGCTCTAAAATGATGGGTTATAATACTGCCAGGGCTTTCTTAAGAAAACGAAATAAATTGGGCTTCCTTAAACAAAACGAAATAAATATACAAAATCAATTAATCAAAATTACTGATCTATATTGCAAATAAACCTATCATTTTAAGAATTTCACATATAGGCCATGCCATCCAAAACCAGCAACAATTGGCCAATTGCCAATTGACTTTTAAATATATTCATATTTTCCACATTAGGAACTTTAAAATGATGGGTCATTTATTAAAATCGACTTCGACTAAAGTTATAAATAAAAATATTATGGCTTCGTTGTACTAAAGTATACAACACTGCCACATTACTCAGTTTAACGTAGCAACTGCATGCTGGTTTTAGGATGGCATGCCTTAAGCTTATAAATTTTCCTTAATTAATTTGGGTGAAGGGAAAACTGAAATGTGAAGCTAACAGAGGACCAGTTCTTTTATTCCAAAACTGCAAAAAGTGTTTCTTAAATCGGATTGGTTGTTGCAATGAAGTACATGTGAGAGCATGTCAGGTGAGGATGAGGATGATTTTTCTCACCTGTAAATACCTTACCTTTGATGATGATCATATCTGTGGTTAGATGGATCGTACACACCTCCTACATCTACCACTATATCGCACTCATCCAATACAACCTTATCCCGAGTTCTAACAATTTCTGGGAATAAAACATTGTAATAAAACACAATATCTATTTGAATAAACGGCCCAGGCAATTTATTGTTCAGAAGGGGGTGCTTTGGGATTTATTCAAGTGAGGCATCTATTTTTTAGGTATTGTAAATGGATATTATATACTAAAATAAATGCCACTTAATTTCACTGTAAATGTGGACCTACAACAGATAATTACCATCAAAATGTTTTATTGCATGATTATAAAATCTTATTAATCCCCACCAGGTTAGCAAAAACGCAATTCTACTAGAGTAGAACATTAAAATATAATGTGTTGAAAGTGATACTGCTTCCAATTCCATTGGTTTTGTTTACAGTCATTTAGAGGCACTGGGTGTTTACTCGAGGGAGGCATTTATTTAAATGAGGCTATGGAGGGGAACATATTGGAGGGAATGGGGAGTTTATACAAAGCATGGAATTTATTCAAAAAATAATGCAAAAGTTAGAAACTAGACATGAATTTGTAAAAATTCAAAATATAATCTTACCTGCATCTTTGTACTGGGGGAGCTGTTTAAGCATAAAGCATGCCAACACTTCATCACAATGGAACGTTCCATTATGAGTGCCTATTTTCTTTACTGGGCAGATTTTCTTTGCAGGATTTTCCATGGCTAATAATTTGGATGAAATGCTGAATTTCTTGGTACACAAATTAACGGTGCCTAAAAAAAAAAATAATAGCATCTAGTGATGTAGACATATATACACGTAGTAATTTAATGCAAAGTCTGCTGTACTAAT